ATGGCAATAGGATAAGATACTATTGAGTCAAGTTCTTTCTATCCCTAAATAATATAATCTGTGAGTATTTATACACATCAGTAAACATGAAGAGTGCTAGAATGCTTTAAGCTTCATGCAATAGCAAATCTAAATCAAAATGGCTTAAATAACAAAGTTATTTATTATCTCACATGACAAGAAGTGGAAAGAAGAATGGTTTCAGGGTTGGTTCAATCTGCAGCTCAACAATGTCATCAAGATCCAGGTTCGTTCTTTCTGCTCTGCCTGCCTCTCTCCTTTCATGGTCCTAAGGTGGTTGTTTCAGGTGCTGCTTGCAGACACAATATTCTACAGCAGAAAAGAGAATATTTATTTCCAAACATCTTTTTAAGAATAAGGAAAACTTTTCCAGTGTTTCTCTGAGCACACCATGAAGCTATTGGTCAGAATTTTGTCAAAAATTGCCTAAACTAATCACTGATGAGAAGGCTAGGACTATTCTGGCTTAAACCAATCATTACTCCCTGGGGAACTCCCCATAAGCACATGGAGGGGTAAAAACCTGAACACATTTAGAGTTCTGTTTGTAGCCAAGGAAAGGTACAATTAAGTAATGTCTTAAAATGCATATTAATGGACACATTAAAACAACTTAAGAAATTGTAAATTTCCCAATTCTTTTTATAATACCTAGTTCACCTAATTTGTCAAAAACCAAAATAGCTTGCAGATATTTATCAAATGAAAGAGTCATTCATTTATTCATCCATTTATTCCTTCAGTCAAGATATTCTGAGTACCCATCATATTCAAGATACAGTTTACTATAAAGAATTTAACAATGTATGAGTTGATTTCATCAAAAAGTTTATTATTTGGAAAATGCCAAACATTAAAAAAAATGATGTGACAGTTTCTTATGCTATAATGTGAAAGTGTATTTCAACTTAAATTTACCAAAAAAAAAATCCACAAATCTCATCAAATTTTCAAGATTTCTAGCCTAAATTTATGAATAAAATTTATTATTTTCTTGAAAGAAAGTGATGTACGCAATTTTGGTAAATTAGTGAATGTAACAGTTATAGGAAATTATAGATTTACTCAAATAATCCTCATTGACAAATATCAAACAAAACATTTATATCTGTAAGACTTAGAAATGTGATGGTGGGGAAAACCCAAAACAATGGTTATATATCATAGGAAGATACTTCTAGAAGAGTTATGATATAGAGCACGAAAACTATGATAGGAATCAGCCTTGAGATTATTTAGTCTGGTCCCCTCACGTACTAATAACTGGGAAATAACAGTAGGCTTTGCATTAACCGAAAGTTTCCAGGAACATCCTAAGTACTAATCCAAAACCCAGTATTCTCCAGGTCACAAAAACATATTTGTTTTTTCCTCTTAGATCTGAACCAGGAAGTTTCTTTTCACATTACTCCTCAAAGACAACCCAAGCGGATGTATGTCAAGAAAAACCAACCAAGTAAATTAAAGTGTTCAGACACAAAGGGAAGGAAAGACTAAAGAAGGGACCCAGGAGAGAAATGTTTATTGTATTAAGAGCCATTCAATTTTGTTGATTTGTTTTATTTTGTTTTAACTGTTGTTCATCTTAAATAATTCCTGTTTTGAGAATGGGAATATCACTTTTGCTATAAAGCTCAGTTACCAAGTGGCAGAAAGGCAAGCGTTCTGTCAGGACCACAGCAGCCCCACACATGAGGGCATGAGAGAAGGCATCCCCACCTTTATTAAGCTGGTGCAAAGTTTAATAAGGGGAGCCTGGCTGCATTTCAGCCACCCCATCCCTTTCATTAGGGGCCCTTGTGCAGGGAACACAATGCATAAATGTGCACAATAGCCCTACATTTTGGAGAAGAAAAATCTTGGTTGTTCCAGAGGGTGTTCACCCAGACTCAGAACTTGAATGCCATGTACAAAGTCAGCATAAATCCATTCTGCTAGAAGCTTTTTTCATTTACTAACATTCTAGACTGTTGGTGCAATAATCTTAATCATCTGACATTTTAGAAGCAATTTCCTGATCTTGGCTGGACAAACCAGGCTAAATGCAACATTTGGCTCTATTTTTAAATGGCCCAGATGGTGTGAATGGGTGTGTGGCTCAGGGTGCCCCCAGACACTGGGCTGCTTCCAGAAACAATTTGTACCTTGGGCGTAACAGCAGCTATAGATAGGAGTGGGAGAAAGGGGGCCAGAGATGGGTAAGGGTCAGGACAGTGCCTCTCTGATCTGAGTAAAACTGATTCACCTGTTACCTGTGAAATACTGAGCCTTACTTTAGGTTCATGAGGCACCTTTTGGTCACCCATAAAATGCAATCCAAGTGCAAATTGAAAAAAAAAATAAATAGTAAGCCAATTCTGAGACAGCTGCTTCAGATCTCTTCTCCACCCACCCCAGGTTGAAATGGGTGTTCTACGTGGGTAAGAATTAGCAGGGAAGTCAATGCTGTTCATTACAAAGGAAAGCCATTTTTGGCCCCCTTCCTTCTGTAAATAGAAATTTGTTTCCTTGGAGATCACAAAGCTTGGATGCCTAGAAAAGAGGAGAAAGAGCAAAGAGGATTTGAGAGAAAAGTAACCATAATTCCCAAGATTTTTAGGCATTTAGCAATACTACAAGGGCTGTCCAGAAAGTATCCAGCCTTGTAACCATTTTTGTCATATTAACAATGGCTGGGTACTTTCCAGACAGCCCTAGGATACAGAGGACTCTATGTCATCCTGAAAAAGCTTCTCATTCTCTTTACTTATAACTTCCCATTTTTCCTACCTCAAATGGCTTTTCCTTAGATGAAATTTCTTCCTTCTCCTTAATTGATCCATGCCATTCTTTCAAATCAGATACTTGACACTAATCACTCTGAACAAGCCTTTACACACATCCAAACTGATTTCTGCCAACCCTAAAAATGTAGACGGTGGCTGGAACTCAAATACAACCTTGTAGCTAAAACTGTGGCTTAGATCTAAGACAAGGATCAGCAAACTGCAATCTGCAGGCCAATCCAGCCCACCACCTGCCTTTATACAGACCACGAGCTAACGATGGATTTTACATGTGTCAATTGTTGGGGGAAAAAAATCAAAGGAATAGTAATATTGCATGACATGAAAATTATATGAAATGCAAATATAATTATTCATAAATAAATGTTTACTGGAATGTAGACATGTCCATTTGTTTATATATTGTCTATGGCTGCTTTCCCACTACAGTGGCATAATCATTTAGCTACAAGAGACTGTACAGTCACAGAGCCTAAAATACTATCTGGTCCTTTCAGAAAAAAAAAAAAATTGCCAATTCCTGGCTTAAGACATTAAAGAGAGATTATTAAATAAGAATATCTCAAAGAAATAAATTTCAGGCAAACCAACAAGACTAAGGCTATCAAGCAGCCACACTGAGGTCTAAATCCCACAAGCAAGACCAAGTGGTTACCCTGAGGAGCAGGGTATAGTGAGCAGGAAAAACAAAATCTACGGAGGGATATACAAAGTATACACTCTACGCTAGATGAGCATTAGCAGGGAGATGATAATGTCTGTGGCGCTCACTGCCACATCCCCAAACCTAGCCCACTTCTTAGAGCAGGGTAGGTGCTCGTTAACTAGTTAATCAACTGAATGAAAATCAAGAGAGGAAGGAGAAAAACACAAAGCAAGTGCAACAAGAGTTGCACAGCATTGGGAGTAAAAAAGGGTGCCCAACATCATCCTCAAATTTGTCGACCTTTTGTCATAGGTTCCCAAAAGTTAGCAAAAATCCTGACTTTGGAAGCTAAGTGTGTGCTCAAGAGACTGAAGAAATAATTAAGAGACTGTGGTAGCTGCCCTGATGCACACTCAAGCTTATCTTTTCCAACCCCTTCCTCAGTCACTAGATGCAAGTATATTTAGCCCAGAGATTAAATTCAGACGTGGAGATTAGTAAAGGGAAGGAAAGCAAATATAAAGCTCATGAAATAAACAGCACCACTTGTCACTGTTGATCTTTGATTAACTGGCTCTTCTTTCTGAAACAGGATCGGTCTCTCTCTCTCTCTCTCTCTCTCTCTCTCTCTCTCTCTCTCTCTCTCTCTCTCTGCTTGCAGGTGACACCCACACATATCCTTCAGTGTTGGCACAGATGCTTACTCAGATAACAACTGGAGTTCATGCTGCACATTTTCATCTTCGTGTGTCATCATCACCATGTAAAACCACAACTATAGGAAAACAAAGCTGTTTTCTGCTCTTCTGTCTCAACTGACATTTCCACCCAGCTCACGATTTGTTCTTCGGAGCCAGACTAGTGTTAAAAGCTGTCATTGAGATAGCTTTGCCTGATGAAGTGCAAGTAAAATCCAATACACTCCTACCCCGAAATCAATCACCTTTCTTCCACTTTTTTACCCCTTGAATTCCTGGCACTCAAGAACCTTTTCACAGGGTTTAAACAGGCACATAGGATAGGGGAAGGGGCTTTGTGAAGAACACATTCTGGCCCTTAGAGTTGCACCAAGAATGAGGTCAACTTTGGGAAAGCTGATGTATTCTCCCATCACCCAAATTTAATCTCAAGCATCGGGCACAGTGTTAACACCCTGAAAGGAACAAAAGACACACTGAGAAAGTGTGCCACATTCTGTTCTGGACAGTGCCTGAGTTTCTAAGTGCTGGGAGCTTGTGAATCTTCAAAAGGAAAGCATGCTGCTTCTGGGACGCCAAAGCAGATAAGTTGAGCAGTGCAGCACTCAGATACATCTCTGAAGAACCAAACTTTCTTGTAAGTAGCACCACTGAAAAGTCAAGAGTTAGGCCTCAGTTTAGGAAACATATATAGACATTAGGAAAAGTAAAAGTTACCAAGCAAGATTCTGGTATGGTTCCCAGACCGCTCCATTTGCTGTGGTTCAGTGGGGTGGTCAGGCCCCCATTGCAATGAATCCAGATGTTTAATTTTCCTCGCCCATTCATCCATTATCTCTATTGCAGACAAAATGAGAAAGGAGAAGGGTGCTGATTCCTTAAAAAGGAATCAATCTGTTTTATCAGAGTGGAAGGGAAAAAGTGAATTCAGAGTTGTGGGCGATTGCAGCGTTCATGCAGTTGTATAGCTAGAATGTGGTGGAAGGTCTGCTGAGTGAAGTCTTGAAGTTTGCACTTGAATTTCTTTTGAACTTGAGTTTCAAGGTACTAGACCATTTTTGCAGAACTAGGGTTGCTATTTTTATTAGCACAATAAAGGAGGCTTATTGGGCAGATTAATGGCTGATTTTTTTTAATTTAATTTTATTCTTTTTACCAATCTTATTTCTTTCCAATTGATTTTTATTTCTCCTATTGGACCATGAGCAACTAGCTGAGTTCAGTCTTTTGTGGAGTAGTAAGAGACATGTAAGCTCGTATTTTTCAAGTTTTAGTTGCTTTTATTAAGTTTAACAAGTTCCATTTCAACAAAGAAAAGAGTTGGTTTGGAGATCACATATATTTGACTCCAGGTTACCCTTAAAGTAAAATAAACAATGAAGGAAACAGAAGCAGCTACATGAATTATCAGACCAACTCTAATGTCTGTTGTTCAAGGGCCTTCCCCTACCCACAAGATGATAGCTCTGTGTGTGTGGGCGTGTGTGTGTGTGTGTGTGTGTGTGGGCGTGTGTGTGTGTGTGTTTAATATAAATACGATTCAAATTTTCAATTTGCTCCAAACACCACAAGTCTTGTTTGTTGTTGTTATTTTATTTTCAAACTATTGCAAGCTATTTGAGCGCTCAGCTGTGACATGTGCATGACAGGTGAAGAAGCTGAAATTTTCTGTCCCCAGCATTCCCAGTTTTTGAGCTCTTTTTGAATCAGAGCCAGGTAAGGCATTTATAGAATTTACTGGGGTAAAATCACCCCATAGAAGAGTGGCAGGTTGGCAGTAGGAAAAGATTTTAACTACAAATGCAAAATTTGCAGAAGTCTTAGGCTAATGATATGTTTAAAACCTAGTTAATACTCCCTCAAGAGGGAATTTGAGGACCTCAGTGGAAAATCAACTTACTCCTGACTGTGGCTTACTTAACACGACTTTTTAGCATGATTCTTTCTAATAGTATTGGTTTTCCTCACTACACAAAAATTCCTAAAATGTAAATGAACTTATTATATCCATTAGATTTTCTTTCACCTGATTTGGCTGTGAATACATGCTTTAGCTCCTGGTTTTCTAATAAAGTGAATTTTTGAACTTATTAACAGGAAAGTAGAAAATAAAACTGACCCTCTTCTCAAAGTGTGATTTTAACACATTCAGACTGACCATTCATTCATAAGGCCAGGTGAAATTCATCCACCCAGTCAATAAATATTTATTGTATACCAGGCGCTGTTCTAGGCACTGGGGATACAGCAATAAACAAAAGAGACAAAGTTCTTTGCCTCATGGAGCTTACATTCTAGTTTGGGGAAACAAACAATAAACAAGTAAAATGTCTAGTGTAAGAGATGGTAAAGTGGGATGGAGAAAAATAAGCAAGGAAAGCGGACAGCATGTGAGGGTATTTATCTAGCGGAAAGGTGACACCTGAGCAGGGACTCGAAGGAGGCAAGGGCTCAATCCAGGTAGACAGAGGGAACAGTATATGTAAAGGCCTTGAAATGGGAACATGCCTGTGACGTTTGATGCATGACCTGAGCCTCCAGTGGGCTTGCAGATAACACAGACGCACTCACCCCAGGTCTTGAGAGAGTCCACGCCGCTACATTCGACCTGGGTTAATAAGAGGTCTGCGGCAGTCATGATCCTGGTTCTGGGTCCATCACTGGCACCATCTTCAATCTCCAGCATGTAGTTGGATTTAACACTTTGGGATCAGTTCCCAGGACCCTGGTATAGTTCCCATCTGGCAGTGTAAAATGCTGCGATGAAGGGTGAGACATCCATTTGGCTGCAAACACCCCCATTAAAATAGCCACGAGGACTGGTGGCTCAGTTAGTTATCCTCAGGGATTGATGGAGTCAAGGCTGAAACTTCCAGGTGTCCACATCACACAGAATTGCACAGGTAAGCCCAGCCTGATATCTCAGAGAGGTAAACCATTTATCTAATGAGAAATTGTGACTAAAGCTAAGCAAAAAAAACCAGAAATGTACCTTGTTTGGATGAAATTAGTATTTGAAAGTCTAGCTTTAAAAAAAAAAAGACTAAACTAGAGGTTTATAAAATGATTTATCCCACACCTCTCTTAAATAGCAAGTTTTCTCCAGAATAACTGCCAAAGTGAAGCATGTCTACTCTTAAAGTGTATCTTTCCTAATACTGAAAGATAATATTAAAATACAAATTTAAAGCAGGCATATGGTGGTTTAGTAATTTTATGACAATACATAGAACATAATGTACACTTGGTCTCTTTAAATTGGCATGCTTAGCCCCAAATAGTAGGCTCACAATCAAAAATTACAGGAATACCATTAGTTTATAAGACTTTTACAATAATAGCAGCAAATGACATTGTTTTCTTCATAATTACTATATCTGAAACCATAAAAGCTTTGCTCCAACCACTGTTTTTAAGCCATTTCTTGGTTCATACTAATAGTGAAAACATCCTTCCCTACATAACATTTCTACTTTGGTTCTGTTCAGAGTGAGTAAGAAAAATCTCAAGTATGATTCATCTTTAGTAAACCTACTTTTCCAGTTAGAAAATAGAACCATTTATTACATTAGATTAAATCTTTCCATTTTTAAAAAATGTATTTGCTACTGCCCTCTCTCAAACTTCTCCAGCTCTGTCATTTTCAAATACAATCTGATAACCTGATTGAAGAACTTTGTGTACCAAGAAGCCAGCAAGTGGCACAAATGCCAGTGTAAATTCAACAGTCCTTCATTACCCAAGTACTGCTGAGTTTGACCTTCTTTGGATTGATTAAAATCATGGAATGGGAGCCTATTTAAAAATCAACCAGAGTACAATATTTGTTGTCTGGAATCATAAGATTCCTATCCCTCACCTCCTCCCCACATTAAAAAAAAAAAAAAAAAACAGTTAAAAGACCTCTTTATGTACATAAAAATGGGGAAGGCAAATGCCCTATATTTCATTACAAGATAAAATACTCCAAGAAACAGGAAAATGGTGGAAGTTAAGAGGTTCTCATATATTATAGCACCTCATCCCTGCGTAGTGGGTTTACATTTGTGTTACAATATTCCCTCCCTTCTTAGATCATTGCCCAGTTGAATTTTCTTACCTAATTTATCTACATGGCAATAATAATAATACTAACATTATATGACAGGCATGATACTAAATGCCAGCGACAAGCAGAGACAAAGACTTGGGCCATGCCCTCATGGAGATTTTAGCACAGGAACAGACCTTTGTGATCATTTTCTTCATTTTGTAGTTGAAGAACCATAGTCTTAGATCGGTGGTGACTTGCTTTGAGGCCATTCAACTAGTAATGGGACTTGAACCCACTCTATCTGCCTCTCAAAACTAGGCTCCTCCAATGCCTGAATTAACCAAAGCACTGAGCAACATTGTAAAGACAGCAGCAGAGCCATTCTTCAAAGTCCTCAGGCATATTCCAGTTGATCCAAACTGGAGGCAGAAAAATATCCACGGTCATTCCAGGGTCAGGCCTTGCAGAGTCTCTTGAGAACTTTGATGCTGTCTCAAAAAACTCACTCTAAAATACTTTCCCATGTCAGTGGACCTCTAGGGTACAGGGGCAGCTGAATCCAGAGTTTTGGAGCTCTGATCCCTAAAGCATTTCAAGTCCCTGTAAAGGAGCTCTCACCAGGGCTCCTTCTTCCTGATGCCTTCCAGAAAGCTTCCGCCCGATGCCAGCCACCTCCTCAGCACATGGCGAGAATTTCATCATTCTCTTCTATTCTCCCTCCTTCAAAAGACGCTTTTTGGGACCCATCCCTCATACCCTCATGAATGCTAATGTCCCTTTTCACAGTGTCCTCACTTCTCCTCTGGCTGCTCTTTGAGCAGCCCACTCAGATCTCCACACACACAATCAAGAGAACAACTGTGCGAACCTGAAACGTATGGAACAGAAAAGCCATAACGTGGTTTGACTGGGATGAGCTGCTAAACAAATAATCCATCCTAGTATTGAAATAATTTTGACATAAAGTGACCTTATTTTCTGACACATTCTTCCTTGGTGTAGGAGAACTATTTCATTCTTTTGAAATCATGCTGTGAACATTAACACTGAATTCCCATCACAGGGAGTGAGAAAAGCAAGTCGATTTGCCTGGTATTGCTTTGAGGGGATTCCATTGCTCAAAATAACTAAATAGGGTCAGAATCGCTCAAAGACAATGTCTACGTCTTTCTAAACTAAAAGGAAAACATTAAATAGGAACTAAATGGCTCATTTCATGACTAGAAGACAGTGTTTTAATGGTTTCAAAATACTCAAGTCTCCCTCCCCCTACCCCTACTCTAAGCTGTTCCCACCCTAAACACCCATTTAACCAAAAGGAATGATTTTCTAGCCTTTCTTCTCCGTTTAAACCATCAGTGGATATCACACTTTGCTAGACTGAGATGTGCAGATGAGTGGGAAAGGAAACGGGCTCAGCCAGCAGCTTGCAAGCAGATTTCAAGCCTAACAGAATCCACTTACTTTGTGTTTTCTGCCCTAACTTCTCAGTGAAGTCAATAATACATGGTGAGTTGGAATCTGGGTCGTGGCACTACAAGACGTGGCCTGCCACAGGAAATTTCTTCGACTTCATTTCAGAGTTTCAAAATGATCTTGACATTTGGTCCAGTCGCTCAAGAAAACTTGGCGCTGGTGGCCTGACAGGGGCCCGAGGTGGCCGGCTGACGGTGAGGCGGTCCTTTCCTATCCAGAGCAGTGATGTTGAGCAGGTGGGGAGTGCCAGCCGGCCGGCTTCTGGATAGGCGTCCGTGTCAGGAGCGGTAGGCCGCGAAGTCGCGGGCTGGGGCGTAGGGCTGGTAGTAGTGTTTGCGCGTGGGCCCGGGCCGCCGCGGGGTCATGTTCATGTAGTCGCTCTGAAGGAGCCTGCTCCTCTTACTCTTCATCTGCAGCAAAGAGAAGTGGCAGTGTGAAGGGACAGGGAGATGTCGTGGAAGGAGTTCTAACTATGCAGAACATTGACCGTCAACTGACACTGAACCCCGGCATTCCCTGAGCACCTTGGACCTGGGGAATGACTCATCAAACTTAACCACTGACTATTCTAAATGATCTTAATTAAAGAAAGTATTTCAGAGAAACCCACCCATGTTACTCTCAATACTGCTATTTGACCTGAATTCCAAAAGCATGCTAATTAACATACCTACTGTTGATATTTAAGTACACTTTGAAGGCCCTTCCTCCTTTGAGTAGGTTATGCCTGTCCCCATTGCAATCTTCTTATTATACGTTAGCATTTGCATAATAAGCTGTTTTTCCATAATTAACCAAAGAGAACCTTCATCTCCTCCAGAGTCTGGTATAATCATAAATTTGTAAAAGTCGAGTGCAATTAATGGGGATTTACAGTTCCAGACAACTAGTTACACTCCTATTTCTTTATGAGTATAGGGACAATAATGTCACTCATTTCCATCCTGCAGGCTTAGCTCCCTGGGAAGGGATTTCTACCAGGAGTGAAAATGGGGCCAATACTGAACCTGGGGCAAAAGTTGCACTCACCGTGATCTTAGCAGAGTTTTTGACTGTGAATTAGGAGCACCATTTCTGAATTAAGGTGATAGTAAATTTTACATTTTTAACAAAAGACCCGTAAAAATTCTAAAAATATAAAACCATCTGGGCTTTCTGGATTCCGAATTCTCTATTATGAAAGAAAATGTCTATTTCTTGGGCACATAGGCCTGATTTCTAAGTTACATATGCTGTACGTGAATGACATGATGCCTGATTGAATAAGTAGCAGCTGCAGCCCTGGTCTTATTTCCATACACTCCTACCTGAGCCCTTTACACACCTTCCTCGTCAAATGGAAGAGTAAGCACTAAAGAAAAGTTTGGTAAACATGCACCTTCATGTGACACAACTACCATGTTCTCAGTCCTCATCTTTTGGAGCTCTCAGCAGCCTTCTATACTATTGATTGCTCTCCTTTTGCAACCTTCTTCCTCTTTGTCTTCTGTGACAACTGGTTTTCATCCTACTTCTCTGGCCACTCCTCCCCTGCCTCCCTTGTAAGCTCATCCTTCTCTAACTGGCCATTCAGTGTTAGAATTCCTCACAGCTTAGTCCTAGGCCTCTTCCTCTACTCACTCTATCCTCATCCAGGTACACAGCTTCAATTACCACCTATTCATTTGAATTTTTATCTCTGGACTAGACCGCAAAAGCACTGTAAACTCAACATGTCCAAAACAAGACTCAAGATCTTCCCCAAAAGTCTACTTGTTTCCAAGTGTTTCTCATCACAGTGAATGACACTACCATATATATAGTTGCCCAAGGCAGACTTCCTAAGCCTCATCCTTGACACCTCAAGCTCTCTTAGTCCCTGTCCCAGGAGACATCCAACAAAGTCTGAAGGCATTTTGGGTACCACAATAGGGAGAGATGCTACTGGCATCTTATAGTAAAGACCAGAGATGCTGCTAAACATCCTACAATGTACAAGGCAGCCCCTCGCAACAAGGAATTATCTTGGTTCTACATCCTTTCTATAAATGAAAGACTAGAGCTCTCTTGGGCACAGGGTTTATAGCAGGGCAGAGATAGACCCAGAAAATGTGTGTCCCCAAATAAGTGTAGAAGATTGCTGATGATAATCTGGGAAGCATTTTCAGTACTTACTCCAACCCTGATGACTCCCTTTGCTAAACCCCTAGGTGACAGTCTTTGCCTCCAGACACCCAAACAACATGATAGCTGGTAGAGAGGCCCTGATGATAAAGATGTCTTGACTCTGACGTTCTCCAGGTTGCACAGAAAGATAATGAAAGATCTGCTGTAATCAGCTCCCATGTTTACCCTAATGCTATTATCAAATGGTGAATGTATTTATTTCCCCTAACTCTAAACACAGCAATGGGATGGAAATGATACATGCATGGCTGGGAACGCCATACAGAACCCACAGTGCCCATGTGTATCTGGCATGTGTGTATATCTGTGCAGGGAGTACCCACCTTATGTGCCTGTGTGAGTATCATCTATTCCACCCCTTCACCAATGGTGGGTAACAGTGTGTGATTTCAGAACCACTCCTCCTTTGCCCTGGCCCCACACCAGCCTTACCCACTTGTTTCCTGGGAGCAGCAGCAACACACAAGAATACACAGGGTAATCTACTTAAAGACGTGGTCTTCAAGGATCTACTGGATAAAAAGGCAGATACTACCTGTGCACAACTATCCACATGGGAGCACCATGTTTGTTAAGTCTCCTTTTGAATAGGAAAAGGAACAAGTTTAGCCCCTCAGCTGAGTGAATGGAGAAGTGAATGAGAGTAACAGGTGCTGGTCTGTGGCAGTCTGACCGAGGGGAGCTCTTTATTTACTCAAATGTCAACATCAGGTCAAGAACTGAGATAGAATCTGCAGCTGCTCCCAGAAACCCACTCAATCCAAAACTGCCTGCGGTAGCATATCACTGGCACTCGGGAAGTTCTGGAAAACAGCACCTTATACCACGGCACTCTGTAAAGCAGCCAAAAATAGACTCCCAGAAAATTACCAAGAAAATGGCTAACCTCTAGGGATCCCTAATGGCCTAGATGCCCAGCTCAGCAAGGTGCTGGTTGCTTAAATAGCAACAGCAGGAAAAGATGAGCCCAGGGTAAAAAATGCTAGTATAGTCTATGAAATATAGATATATTTTTATTTATGCCTATCTGGTAAGAGAGTACAAAGACCTAGATTTGAGATGCAAGTAAAGGGTGGTTCTTAGTGGGTAACCTAATATGGATTACAAGAGGCCACAGATGAAAAGACATGCCAAGTACTGAGAATACCCAATTCACAGGGAATCTGAGACAAAGTAAAACCAAAATAAGTTTTCTCAAGACAAAGCAAGATCTGATTGATAAATGAGTGGTCAGTAAAAAGTAAACAAATAAAAGGCAAAGCAAGATGAACCTCACAAGGATTTTGTAGCACTGCCAAAGAAAAACCCCAGAGTGTCTATGATGTGTCTGAGTTGAAAGTGAACTGTTCAAACTCATTGAAAGTGAGAAGCTGCTTTTGTCCCTGTGGGCGATTCAAGTCACTCAAATTAGTGCCTCATTATATTATAGTAACTGACATTCTAATGCATATTTATAACAAGTCTTAAATGATGAGCAGTACTCTTCTGGCCACTGGACATTAAAGCAGTTCCCAAAAATACTTCCTGCAAAACTAGTAAATTACTTTGACCGAGGTCAGCACGTCACAGGGGAGAACTTTTCCTGAGGGGGGTACCCAAAGGTCCACCACATCTGATCTTTAAGTTAGGAATTTGAGATTCAAAAGGAGAGGATTGAAAAGCTATATAGCAGGCATAAAACTAATGCCTAGGAATTAGGGAAAGAAACAAAAACTAAGGATTCTAAAAATTCTAAAATCACTGGCAAATACCACAGCGGATCAAAATTAGAAGATACCATGGACAACACCACCAAGATCCAGAAAGAAGAAAATACTCAAGAGGCAGAATGTAGGCAATATTTTCCTACACTAGAGCGCCCCCCCCCTCCCGTCAGGGTTGGGTAATTTGCAGAAGGCAAGCCAGGCATTCCCAAGATGATAGTGAAGATGAATTCCCATAAAGAATTTCTAGGAACAAGCAACCACTTTGTTCCCTACCCTGCAGAGGGTACAGTTTAGGCAACAGGCAGCCTGACAAATGTCCATCTGCCCACTACGGCCTCCTGAACTGCAAGGAGCATGTGTGAAACAATTGAGAGGCAAACATAGGCAATAGGCCAACAAGAGTTTAAAAATATCTGAGGCTGGGTGATAGAATAGCACGACTGTGAATCCAGGGCTGTAGCACCAAGCCATAGTAAATACGATAGCTTCACACAACGTGGCTTCCAAAAATCACCAACTCATCTATGGATTAATTGAATATATAGATTATGTCTTAAAGATGAGTGTCACACTTCAAACAGGCTCATTTAAATCCTTAATTTGACCTCTTACAGGGGTTATCAATTCATCAATCCAATAAGTATTCATTAAGCATTAAATGTACTTAGTACCAAATGAATGGAGAGACTATAAAGAGAAATAGTCCTTTATCCTTGAAGAGAACACATTTCTCATTGAGGAAATGACTCACACAGGCAGCTAACTTCTAGAAAAAAATCTGAAGACAACATGGAGTCAATACATGAGTTATTCTGTCCCACACACAGGTTTCTGAGTAAGGAAAGGATCCTTGATCACAAGGTCCCTTCTGAACTGCAGATATGTTCATCAAAATGTGTTCAAACCTGGGCCAAAAATTCAACATAAGGAAATAATGCCTCATTATATTATTATTTATTAACAATATTAATAATTATATTCCTTACTCAAATAAGGAAAAAAACATCAAGTTTATTGCACAAACATTTGCAAAAATTGGTAAACTTCAATGTGGTGGCAAGAGCTGGGAAAAGTCTAACTCCCATTATAGTTTCATAATGACAGCACCATACTTGGCCTCACACAAGTCAACTGCTTCAGAGGAGACAAAAATATGACTCAGATAAACACAGGTCTAGTTTCTATGCTCAGTTTCAATACACAATTCCAGTAGCCAAGTTTCTTATGACTTTTGACCAAACCAATGTTTTTCGTTGGCTTCAGTTGCCTAGCTTCCCAAGTTTCCTAGATTTTTACACGTGTGTGTGTATTAAAACTGTTGTATGTCAAAATTAAATTGCAAAATTGGAAGAAGGAAAGTAACTGTTCCTAATCCCCACACCCTAATTTGCCCATTTAGCTTATTACTCTGCCAGGCCACCTAGTCAGTGTCTTCTGGAAAACAGAATTCACATCAGATTTCTTATCTCAGATAAAGTAGAACAGGGTAAAAGATAACCTACTCAAGCATGGGAAAAAAATAATAATTATACATAAAACAAACCACATAGTCAAAATTCTTGAATATGTTTAGATTGCACATGCAGTAGAAAAGTTACATAAAGTTACATAGTGCTGCTTTTCTTACCCAGCAAAACTTACATAAAGTTACACAGTGCTGCTTTTCTTACCCAGCAAGCGCAAAGGGCCACTGTCACCAGCAAGCTATAGAAAGCCAGGACTCCACCGACCACCACCAGTGCCCAGAAGGGCTTAGAAGACTCAGGAAATTGAGGTTCTGGACAGAAATATTTCTCTGGAAAATAGAGTGGATTAAATAATATAGGAATGGCAGTTGAGTACATTTCCTTCCTTCCTTAACCTCAGAGAAAAATGTGAAAGATCTACAAATACGAAAAATATCACTAGCTTAAGGGTGTATAGATAGACTTGCTCTTTAGGACTTATCTAACCCACCCCTGACCATGACCCTGTCAGTGTCCAGGACTACAGTTGAAAACCATCATTACTTTAGGGTGGTACACCAGCAGAGCTGCATTCGCTTGACTTTGTTGAATCCTCGGCGTGATCCAAAATGGTGACGTCACATGACCCCAACCCAGCCTCTTCTTCCCCTTTCCCCCATCGGAAGACAATTCATCTAAACCTGAACTATTATCCTTAAAATAAGTTAAATGGTATACATGTTTTTGAGCCTTAAGAAAACATCAGCCTAATATGGTAGTCAGAACACTGAACTGGTAACCAAAAGATAAATTTCTGGTTCCAATACTTTCTAATAGATTATATGATGATGGACGAGTTACTTTAAATCTTTGAGAATCAGAAAGGGGAGGGGAAGACTTCTATTCAAAACTGGAGAAAATTAAAACTAGAAAGAATACCAAAACTCTTCTAATCCATTGATTTTTTTTTTTTTTCAGTCCTGGCTGCACATTAGAATTAACTGAGGAAGTTTGAAAAATATAAAATTGTCAAGCACCCTTTTCTCAACACATATCAATTGCATCAGAATTGCAGGGTTGGACTCAGGCATTAGTGTCTTTTAAAAGCCTACCCAGATTTATAAATATGTAAACAGGATTGAAAATTACTGAGTAGAGAATCATTGGTATCTTTTCCAATTCTAATACAAATGATATATTATGTATTTGTCCATATATAATATCCTAATGTAGTATATCATTCATATAGAGAAAATGTGTTCTACCCTTAACTTCCAAAATAGCATATTTTTTAACCTTTAACTTGATCCAATTAAAATATTCTGCCTGGACATTAGAGATATTACAAATCTGAATGGGGCTCATTAAGCAAAATATTCACACATTAATTGCATCTATTTTGCCAGAACACAAAAGCTACTCTGCCACATTCAGTTTAATGGTTCTTTCCTTATTTAGTATCCTATCTTTCACCACAGCATAGCTCTGTTCTGGCATAGGAGGGAAAAAACATTTATTGGAATTATGCTAGTATTAGATACAAAACTGAGAGCATCCATTTTCTTGTTTATCATTCCACAGAAAGGAAAAGCTGTAGTGTATCCCTGAAGTGTATCCAAAAAATGATCTGACTACTCTCAATTTTACTTGTTGTTACCAATAGACTGTATTCTGAGTTTGGGAATCTTGTGATTTTTCTCTCCAACATTTAGAGAGAACATAAGCTCAGTAGACTTATTTTCACTAATTCATCAACTGTTCCATGTTATTGACTGTTGGGCCATGAAAAAGTTGGGTGACTTTTCCAAGATCATAGAGTTGATTAATAGCAAATTTCACATCCCCTGGTTTCTAGTCTAGCATCCTTTGTATGTTTTAGAAACTGAAAACGTATTTTTGAGAGGAAGACCATGGGGCACAAAAAAAGAATTAATTAGAAATAGAACTCATTCGTCTTAGTCTTGATGCATTAGACCCAGCTGCTGCTTGAGGGTAACTGGGCTTACCTTTTAATGGCAACCTTTTTTCTGCCATGACCCACTCAAATGCGGAGTAATGTTATAAATGATCTATTCCCATGGGCTGTAACCTCACCCCTTACTCTCCCACTCAAAGTCAATGAGGTAAAGTAAAGATAGTCAAGATATAACCTTGAATCTCCTCTAAAGTGAAAGAAAAAAAAATTTTTTGAAAACATCGCCTTTATTAGTATCACATCACTTAGGACTTATTTAACCCTGCCACTGATGGTGGCCTTGAAAACCATCACATTAGGGTGGTGCCACTGGGAGAGCTGCATGTTACCTTTCACATGGATAATGGTTCCATTGCTCTTCTCGTTGTCTAGGTAAGGAGGAGGATACAAGACCTCGATTTTGCAGAAGTAAATATCTGTTTGGTTAACGTACAAATCCCGGAGGTAGAATGTCACTGATTCGTTGTCCAATTTCCCATCACAGTTGAACCCCGTATTTGAGTGAAACTGAAGCTGATGGGAGTAATTCCCATTCACAACACAGACTTCCACGGCACTATCGACTCCTTTATAAAGGGATGCCCGGAACTCCTTTGAGAAGAGGTTGTAGGTATACTTGCAGCTAAGGTTGACCAAATTGTGATACACCACAAGCATGGGCGACTGCTTCACCAAAATCTTGTTTTCTGGGGGAAAAAAAAACATTTGCTTAAAACAACAGTATAAGGATAATCTTTTTTTTCCTGAAAAAAATATGTTAATAAACCAAATCAACAGATCTCTAGCAAAGGCTTTCTCTTGGCTGATGAAGATTTAGGAGCTCTTGGGGAGATAATTATACCAAAAGTTTAAAAGTTTACATTTTGATATCATTTTCATCCTCCTCTGAATGGAACAATGGAGCATATTTTCACCTGGAAGGCAGAATATAGTTTTCTATTGGCATTGAGCACCACCACTATGCACTTGGAATTTTTGAGTCTGTATTGAGATCCCTAAGAAGTTAATCATGCATTAGGCTAATTTCCTGATTGAGTGATATACTTGGAAGTGGCTTTAACGCCTGACACAGATGCACAGATAGGTTTGTTTTTAAATTGTAATACGGGCTTTTGTGAAGGAATTAAAATATTTTGGAACTTTCTGTTATATTAGGGTTAGGTTAATATTAGGTTTAGAGTTAAGTTTAGGGGATTAGGGTTAAGGACGGGGTGTTATGGTTAGGATTAGGATGTTAGTTTTAAGGTTAGGGATATGGGTTATAGGTTAGGGTTATAGGTTAGAGCTTAGGGTTAGGTTTAGGGTTAGAATTAGGAGGTTAGGATTAGCATTAAAGTTAGGGATAGGGGTTAAGGTTTGGGTTAAGGTTGTGTGTTTGGGGTTAGGAGTTAGTATTAGGGTTAGGCTTAAGTTTAGTGGTCCAGGCTTAGGGTTAGGTTTAGTATTAGAGTCAAAGGGTTAGGGTTAGGGTTAATATCATGGTAGGGTTAGGTATAGGTGTAGGGGTAGAGTTAGCTGTAGGATTCTGAAACATTTTGACTTTGTTTATTGGCCATTCCAAGGGTAGTATAAAGAGATAAGAAAACACATAATCCATAGAATTTGCTTTAATTTCTCTTACACAGTTAATTCATAGAAGTTCATAGATATGTTTCCTTACATCACAAAAATGGAAGGGTTTCACAAGAATTATCTCTCTGGTTCATCTTCTACCATTTTGCTACCCCAATAAAAAAAAATCAAAGAATTTGGAGACCATTTAATTCAATCTCTTCACTTTAAAAGCAAAGAAACTGACACTAGCTTATCACCTCCATGAGGGAGGAGGACACATCTGTCTTGTCCCTGATTGTATCCTCATTGCTGGCACATGAAAATATGTTCCTTTCTTTTGTCTGTTTCATTGAATCAGAAACATTAGATGGTTGTCTAAAGTCACTGAGTAAATGGTGAGTAAAGCCAGAACTAAAACACAGAACTAAAGACCAGATCAGCCACAATCACTTGAGAAAGAGACCACTTAAGCACTGAGAATCAACTTTGCAACCAAAAGACCCTCCAAAATTTTTCTTAAACAACAAATTGCTTTGTGTTGTTGATTCAATTTTAATACAAACAAAAACAATTTTTGTTATTATTTAGGGGTATGTCAATAATTATGATTTAAAAAAAAGTTATTTGAAACAACATACCATATGCGCACACAGAAGAACAAAATAAGATCAGAATCCATTAAAATGAAATTTATAATTTAAACTGAATTTGAATTCATGTACTCAGGTGTTTTGTTTTTGCTTTGGGAATAAGGGAGCTGCATAGAACTGAATTAATATTAATAGTAGCTTTTTTGTCTCCTATATAGTTATCAATGCTGGCTATACATCAAGAAACTTAGAAAAAATACCAGTGCTCAGGTCCTCTTACTCCCAGAAATTCTGATTTAATTTGTCTAGGCTGCAGATAGTAGTGGGAAAGGATTGATATTTTTTCTTTTTATAAAATAACGACTTTATTTAGATGTAATTTTATGTGCCACAAAATCTGCCCTTTTAAAATGTACAAGTTAGTGGATTTTTTTACATTCATGGAGTTGTGAATGGATCACCACTATCTGATTCCAGAGCATTTTCATTACCACCAAAAGAAACACCATATTCATTTGCAATCACTCTTCATTCCTCCCTTCCTTCAACCCCTAGAAACCATTAATCTACTTTCTGTCTGTATAGATTTGCCTATTCTGGACCTTTCATATAAATAAAATCATACAATATATGGCCTTTTGTGTCTGGATTCTTTGACTTAGTACAATGTTTTCAAAGTTCATCTATGTTGTAACATGTAGCAGAACTTCATTGCTTTTTATGGCCAAATAATATTCCATTGTATGAATATAACACATTTTGTTTTTCCATTCATTACTTTTTAGCTATTATGAATAATGTTACTGTGAATGTTTGTGTACAGGTTTTTATGTGGACCTATGTTTTCAATTCTCTTGAGTACATATCAGGAGTAGAAGTGCTGGGTCAAATGGTAACCCTATTTAACTTTTTGAGGAATTGCCAAACTGTTTTCCAAAGCAACTGCACCATCATGCACTCCCACCAGCAGTGTACAGTGGCTCCAATTTCTCCACCTCCTTGCCAACATTTATTATTGTCTATCTTTTCTATTATAGCCATCCAAGTGGGCTTGAAGTGGTAACTCATCATGGTCTGATTTGCATTTCTCTAATGACTAAAAACGTTAAGCATCTTTTCATGTGCTTATTTGCCATTTGTATATTCTTTTTAGAGAAATGTCTATTCAGATCATTTGCCCATTTATTAACTAGTTATTTGTATTTTTATTATTTGATTATTAGAGTTTTTGATATATTTTTGATACAAATTCTCTCAGATATGTGATTCATAAATATTTTCTCCCATTCCATGGTTTGTCCTTTGTATTGTCTTAAAAGTCAATTGTATTGTCTTAAAAGCCACTTGATTCTAATATTCAGTTGGGATTGAAAACCACTATGGCCTAACAGACTTTTCCAGCTGACAACATGTTAGAATTACCCGGGGAATTTTAAAAACCTTTGCTTCCCAGGCCAATTAAATCAGAATCTGAGTATAGGACTCAGGCATCCATTCATATTTTTTTAAGCTTCTCAGGTAATTCTAAATTGCAGTCAAGTTTGAGAACCAATGGCCTAACAAATGAAACCTAACTTCTTATCCTCAAATTCATGGGCCTCCATGTACTTTTCCAACCTCATTTCCTCAAGCCCAAACCCTCCTAATTAGCAGAACCATTTAAGTGAGAACCCCAGGAACTCACTGTGAGCCTTCCTACCTCCATACTTTGCTAACTTCTTGGCCCAGAATACCAATCCCTTCTCAGATCCCAACATGATTATTGTCTGTATCACTCATTTGCCATTTAGTCAGGTTCTACCTTTCGAACATCTCTTGTTTCACATGCTTCCATTTGTTTAGCTTTTGATTCATATGTAATTCCTTTAGGCCCCTAGTTTTCAAGTCTCTTGACAGCAAGGGCTACATGTTACATTTCTTTATATGATACTGAGTGACTAAAAGGATCTCATTGAATAATCGTTAAGTGAAAAATGGTGATCTGACTGTATCATTCTTAAGAATTTAAGGAGATGGTAGTCAAATCGGCTGCTAGATTTGTCCTTAAATTCTTGTTCAGAACCTGCGTCTCAACAACTTGAGTTTCATTTATTATTCATTCAACAAATATTCTATAGAAACACTGAAATGTAGACATGTAAAGATTTGAAAAGTTCAACCTGTCTTAATACAAAAATGCAACTTGTTTTTTGTTTTTATTTTGTTTGGCTTTTTTCTTTGTTTAGTTAGATTGCAAGGACAAACAACCCCAGCAAGAAATGCCAGCATCTCCCCTCTGTTTCAGGGAGTATAGGTCAGACATTTGTAGTCCTGTTTACAGAGCCCTCTGAGAACTGTGTTTCTCTTGCTAATTGTCTGGATTCTGTTTTAATGGGCATTCAAATTCTTCCCCATCTGCCTTTGAGAACTGATATAAAGAAAAAGATGAGAATAGGACTTCTTTGGGGAGATAAAAAAAAGGAGTGTGGGTGGAGAAACTGAGTAAGGCTGGAGAGAAAACCCAGATTGTTACCCAGTTTGGCTCCCTCCTCCTGGCACCCACAGTGAGGTGGAACAAGGGAGGGAAGAGGAGAAGCTCCAGCATCTATACTCCAGCAGTCTGCTGAATACTAACTCAGAGTGTGACATGTTCCTAAGATGCACATGGAGAGAAGAATTAATTTCCCCAAAATGAACCACACTCAGTTTCTGTCCTTGGGCAGCCCACAATCTAGTGGAGAAGAAAGATATATAAACTAAATAGACACTATTTTACAAATAGTGGCACAGTGATCTACACAGAGCCTCTGGGGACCACTGGGGAACCAGCTAAGCATCTCTGGAGGAGATACTGCTGACCTGAGTCTTGAAGGATTATGCATACATTTATTTGACACATTTTTACTAAGTAAAAGCTAGCCTGGCTAAGATATGTCTTGGTGTTGAGGACTGTGGTAAGGAGGGAGAACATATGTTGGGTTTGGGGGGTAAGTTTAGGGGACTGTGGGGAGGATAAGACAAAGAGAGAAAAAGAGCAGTCTAGGCAAAGGAGAGAAGGAGGTGAGAAAGTATGGCAGACGTAGGGAATTACAGCTCCCCAATGTTGCTGGATCATGAGTTATGAAAGACAAGCTTGGCAAAGCAAGCACAGTTCCCCACATTAGGGAACTTGGGCTCTCTCCTGCAAGTGATAGAGATCTGCTGAAGGCTGTTATGCAGAAAAGTGACATGTACAACTTTTCATTTTATATACATCACTTTAGTAAAAATGTGGAAGGTAAATTTCAAGCACGCAAGAGTAAAAATGTGGAGACCAGCTAGGATACACTTGTGGTAGTCTGGACTGGAATGTGGTGTGAAAGAAGCGGATAAGCTCAAAAAATATTTACAGGATGCACTTTGCAAAACTGGACATTGGCTTAGGTGTGGTGAGTGACAAGGAAGGAGGAGCTGAAAATAATTGTCCTTAGGCCACACAGCCCAATCGGTAAGTAACCATTTTCCTTTTGCCTACATCGCTTCTTCATTCATCTCTTCTTCATCACATAACCAGAGTAGACAGC